CCCCCCCCCCCCCCCTCTACCAACTAAACCACCTTATATGGAAATGTGTAAAGTATGTATACACAATGGTAGTATTTATAATAAAGTTAAAAGGAGAACTATCACAGCTAAGTAGAATTAATAAGTTAACGAGTAATAGTCGACCAACTTATAAAATACACTTGGATTCCTAAAAATTTCGTTACACAACTCAATAGAAAATGATCTAAAACTAGCTGCATTAAGAACTTTGTAATGTTATTGTAAACTGTTAAAAATAAACATTTTATGAAGAAAACAACTTATATGCATTACTACTATTAGTTTTACTTTTTAATTTGCGGGAGAGATAGGGTATTATTAATCTTTTTTGGATAGCACAACCTATAAGGATGATTTGAAAATAAGTCCTTCAGTTACGATCTTTTTATTTGAACCCATTTTTAGTCGTTATAGCGGTCAAACCGTGAACTCACTTATTATGCTCATTATCAAGGAAGCCCAAGTATTGTGACGGGCAACTACGAAACCCTACCTCTTACATTGTGCGTGATCCGACACGCACTTGGCCAGTTTTTAATCGTGATTTGATCTCATCTAACTTTGTTCTGTTATTTTGATTGAACGAATATTGTATTACAGTATTTTTACAGAAAATAATTGTTTTATCGATATATAATAAAACATACTTAAGACTTTTTATAGTATATGTGTGTATGTACTCGTAAAGAGAACTATACTAAAATATACGACTTAAACTATCAAAATACCTAAATATTTAACCTATTTTATTTTTATTATGTGCTTCACATGGGTGATTTCTGGATCTCGACAACAGCGCCACCTACCGACTTCAATTGTGAATCTAGAAATCCATCCAAGGACTCAAACACACAAAAAATGTATCAAAATCGGTTCAGCTGTTCTCAAGCGATGATCCTTCATACATGTGGCAATTGATTTTTATTTGTATAGATATTTCAATCGGTTCTGGTTTCTTGATGATATGTCTTTTCGCGACGAGAGCGGTCGTAGTCCTCATTTAAAGTTATCAGAGGTTAATGCAGTCTCTTTGATGCCTTACCATCTCTCCATTTCGTTGTTAAATTCATGCTTCTAAATGAGGTGCTACACATTGGATGTTTATTCTGGTCAGTCGGAGGCATTGGTGGTCTTTTGCGAGCCCTCAGGATCGTGTAGCACATATTTCTATAATCGAATATAGTCGAAATATGTCCGAAGAACTTATGAATTCGCTAATCGATAAATGCTACGTAAGACTGCTTATACATAGACTATTGTAAACGTACTGACTCATTATTAAACCGACGCTTATCTTCAACTCGTTTGAATAACGATAACGCGTGTTTTGGTTAGGTACCGTCAGCTAAATAGCCAGTTTTTTAACCTAGAAAATATAATGTGTGAAACAAAATTGGCTTTCGAGTTTATCCGTCAGAGTTTTTATTATAATTCAGAAATTTATAAATATTACATTTTTTTTAATTCCTATTAATAATGACATACATAGAGACTGCGATTGCTCATCATCATTTAAATGTCATTGACATCATGACATTGGGACGTCAAATACATTATCAGTGATCATGGTGCCAGTAGTCTTAATCAATATTTAAATTGTTAAATTACAGACATACATCTTTTTCAATTAAAAAGGTTTTGTCGTAATAACGACACTAAGTATGGGAATTGCATAACACAAAATTAGCTGTCTTGCAACCTTAACAGTATTATTTTGAACCCAAAATGGTATATATATATAGCTAGCTTTTCGATATTCTGTTGGAGAGAACGACATTTTCTCATTCATGAAGGAATTAGACGGCTTATTTCGTTAAATATATTTCAGTCATTCCCCTACCAGTCCCTATAAAATTTTACAACTGCGGTTTTCAACCCGTCTGCCAAGCGTGGTAAGATTGGCAAATTATGAAAGTCGTCAAAGTTTATATAACATTTAACTGCGGATCTATGGGGGATTTCCGTTAAAGTTATTGCGTCTATAATAGATACAATCGCGCCTCATTTAGCTATTATTTTTAATACTAGTATCGAATCTGGTGTGTTTCCTGATTTAATGAAGCATAGTAAAGTAATACCTTTATTTAAATCTGGTAGTACATTAGACCCCGCCAATTTTAGACCTATTTCTGTACTACCAACACTTAGTAAGATTTTTGAAAAAATTGTTCTTGTTCAAATGTTAAATTTTTTTAATATAAATAATTTACTTCATAAAAATCAATTTGGTTTCACAAGGGGTCGCTCGACAACTGATGCCGGTGTTGAGCTGATTAAATATATCTTTAATGCATGGGAGAATTCACAGGATGCTTTGGGTATATTTTGTGACCTATCCAAGGCCTTCGATTGTGTTCACCATGAAACATTAATCAGGAAACTTCAACACTACGGTGTAAGAAGTGATGCCCTTAAATTAATTATTTCATATTTAAGTAAGAGAACGCAAAAAGTTGTCATTAACAATATGAGCTCTTCCGGATCGATGGTACAAATGGGCGTGCCTCAAGGCTCAATTCTCGGCCCCTTTCTGTTTCTTGTATACATTAATGACTTACCTTACATAGTAGGGGATAACCATGATATAGTATTATTTGCAGATGACACTTCTTTAATTTTCAAATTAAGTCGACAGTTACTAAAATATGACGAAGTAAATAATGCTATCTCTAAATTAGTAAATTGGTTCGATGTTAATAATTTGCATTTAAATGGCACTAAAACAAAATGTATGAAATTCGTGACTCCAAATGTCAAACAATTAAATACTAATGTAATTTTAAATGGGGAGAAACTGAGTCTTGTAGATACCACCATTTTTCTTGGAATCACACTAGACGCGAAGCTTCAATGGAGCCCCCATATATCAAAACTAGCAAGCAGACTTAGTTCTGCAGCATATGCTGTAAAAAAGATTAGAAGTTTAACCAGTGTTGAAACAGCTAGACTAGTTTACTTCAGCTACTTCCATAGCATAATGTCGTATGGTATTTTGCTATGGGGACACGCAGCTGACACTGAAATTATATTTGTTTTGCAGAAGAGGGCCATAAGAGCAATTTATGATTTAAAGCCTAAAGAGTCGCTGCGACAAAAATTTAAGGAAATTAATATATTAACTTTGGCCTCTCAATACATTTATGAAAATGTAATGTACGTACACAAAAATAAAAGTAGTTTTACAAAAATAAGTGATATTCATTCTGTAAATACTAGGAACAGACACAAGCTAGTAGTACCAGTTACTCGACTCCATCGAGTCAGTAATTCATTCTTGGGGCGATGTATACGCTTTTACAACAAAATTCCAGAAAATATACAAAGTTTGACCTGTTCAAAGTTCAAAAACTTTATTAAACTAAGTTTGTATAAAAAGGGTTATTATAATATTAAGGAATTTATGGATGATAATAACCCCTGGAAATGAGGTGATCGCTACCAAGCTATTTCTAATTTGTTGTGTTGTTAATTTGTGTAACATCATGATTGTAAGCTGTTATTTAAAAAAAAAAGCCCCGCTGGGTTTCTTGCTGGTTCTTCCCAGGACAGAGGTTTTTTCCGAACCAGTGGTAATCAAACAAAAGAGTGACTTTCAATAAGTATTATTTATAATCTATATTGAATAAAAAAGTTTCTGTTTCTGTTTCTGTTATAAACGGATCGTTGGAATTATTTATTTTTAAACAACCTACATTTACTCAAATGGCATCTGTCAACTTATTGTACTTTATGTTTGAAATTGTGTAATCCTCTCAAAGCTTAACAATCAAAGTATCAGTCGTAATCAGAGATACCCTATCAGTCAGCTGACAGTTTTTGGTTATCTCGTCAAATTGCATGACTCATAACATCATAACTCACGATTTACTTTTTACTTTTCACTTGGAAAAAAAAGTCATTTTAAGCATACTGCAAAAAGAAAGAGGTTCTAAATTCGACTGCTTTTTTTTGTATTTATGATTCTGATTATGATGATTTTTTTGTATTTGAGATAATTATCGTTGGATACCTGAAAACTTTTGAGTGTACGCTGTCATGTAACCATACTCGTACACAGTATTAAATTTATTATTTTTTCCAAGGTTATATAGTCAAAAATCATATACCAAAAATCTAATTCGTAATCTAATAGTTTTTAAGATATATGTGTAATAGAAAAAGCACCAAATTTTCGAAGTATCACCTTAAGAGTGGTACCTAACCGAAACCAGATGGACTCTTAGACAGAAAAGGAGCTCTACCGTTTTCTTACCACGTCAATGAACTCTAGTCTAGGCGACTTTAGAACCTGGTACTTTTACGTCTGAATCTAAAACTGAAATGTATATGTTTGCTTCTCTTTGTTAATTGTGTACTTATAAATATGAGTTAGATATAATTATGTACTCGCATGTATTATAGATTATTATAAAAAAAACATTCCATGTAATTATCACAACTGTGTTTTATAAAACAGTTGAAAAGATTGTAGGCACGTTTTACTTTTCAGTGTTCCGTGCCTAAATAAACAAAAACATTTATGAAAAATCACCTCTATTTCTGTCTGCCGCAGAAATTTTTTTAAGGACTACTACACGAAAATAATTTTAATTTGGCATAGTTATAACATACAGATACTTAAATACAAACGTGAGGTTCAAAACTTTGGAGGTGGTAAATGAGAAGCTTCTGTCTTTAGATCGTCGTGCGGCGTCTAATTTAACAGCTCTTGGAAACATAATTTCATTAAGTATTTTAAAATACAACATTTTTTACGAAAAATACTTCAATAATTGCCTACTTGCACAGAATAAAACTAATAAAAAATAATGATAAGGATCTGATAGTAACTAAGGAACACTAATTATGCAAGTATAGATTGCACTTGAGCGATATCTTACGTTGTCCATTATATAACATATGCGTTGAGTCACATGTTCATTTTATTCAAAATGTCCTCGATTATTTTAAATCAACTACTTTTTTTTTTCTTGTTACAGTACTGGATCAAGGCGACGGCAGGCCGGTGAAACTGAATACAGCTGATCAAAATCAGACAAAACAAACGGCCGTGCAATTCATTGCCGAGGATGAAGAGGTAATTTGAATGAAATCAGCAATATTTTATATCTTATTGTTTATATAAACAAAGGTTATATTTTAATAGAGAATTCTTGTTTTTTTTTTTTTGTAGAATAAGGGTTACAAACAAAAAGCACACTGTCCAACTGATGGTAAGTGAATGCTGTGGCTCATTAATATCTACATCTATCCTCAGTTAAAAACAATAAATGCAAATATATAGTCATCCTTAAGGACTAAGATGGAATGCCTCGTTTAAAGTAAAAAAGTATTCCGGATATCTGCACTCACTATACGGAACAGAGCAGCATAAAGTTGCTATTACACTGGTATTCTGTGAGAGCGTGATCCTTCCTTGAACGAGCCAACCCATTTGTGCTACAAACTTAATATAACTGCAGATGGCTCTACCACGTATGACAAACATTTTTGGAACATTCATAAAACTTGTGTTATGTAGGAGCCACTAATATGCTTATTAGAATTTACCTATTCAATCCATATTATTTCATTCCGATCCTAACATCTCTCTTCTATTTTTATTTTTGACACGTTCACACGTGCTGCGTCTGATATAGCAACCATCAATAAGCAGTTGAATAAATATCCCTTCGATCCATGTCGATGCCTCAACATCTGTCTTATCTCTTCTATTTGTCATTTTGAGATATTTTACTAACAAATGTTGAACGTATTTGCACTGTAAATAATGATGCCAGATTATTCGTTTCATTTATTACTTTATCACAATTGTTATTGTCTCATGATTCAAACCTCGGAGTTTTAGATTGTAATGGATTTAATAAACTTTGTTCTCGTGCGAAAAACGTCTTTTGTATAAAATTATGAATACAAAATTCAATTTTAAATTAAAACTTTTCCGTAATTGTTATTGGAGTTTTGATTAATCTTATATTCATCGATTTTAATGGAAAACACTTTAATTCAAAGTGGATTCGTTCGAATCCCCAGTATGCCGCGAAGTTTCTAATGGCCCGCCTGTGAATGACTTATGAACTACTCCTATTTTCATCCAAAATTAAACTGCGTCTAAAGGCGATTCAATGACCCGCCTCAATTGAATAAGTTTCTAGAGCATTTCATAATGTTGCCTTTTTTATTGCACTTAAAATAGATATCTTTATTTGTTTTGTCTCGTTTACGCCTTCGAGTTTCTCACAGCACGAACCTCATTTTGAAACGAAAAAATAAATTGTTTCACGAAATTTTAACATTGAAAACGATATTTCTTTTATTTTCAAAATGCTTCTAACATTTCTTAAATAACTTTTTAATGCTACATCTAAAGAATATAAATTGGTTAAAATTCGCGTGCGAAAATGAAATTGTATATATTCCCTAGTTTGAAGAGCGAACTTGCAATTGTTGTGCACGGCGATGTAGAAGTCTATACTAACAATCGCGTCCACAATCACTGCCAACATTAACAATCAACACGGCTACCCCCTACACTGGAAAACACCACCGTAGATAATAATACTATACTTGTACTTCTTCAATAGCCCGTAAAAATACCCTGCTGATGAGCATCTCCCGTTGCGTGGAGGATATGCCTTTATTGTCACGCTTGGCAGGTGAATTGACGATTGAAGTACCGGACGTCTCGCATCTTTGTCACTGCGCCCCGTCACCGGTCTGGTAGTTTTATGACTGGCCAAAACCATTTTGGTTATATCGCATATATCGGAAGCCATAAGATCTTTCTGGCATTTGCCGTAGTCGTCTATTACGACATCCGCAGAATGAAATAATGAAAGGGTGATAAACTCTAACGCTGTCATTACACGTTTTTCTCCTTATTTGAACCTTATTTACCATATATAAGGCAAGGGATGGCTTTTGTTGTGGGCGATGAGTTTGCCTTAATTAAAAGTAACGTTAGAAAGCTGAGTAGTACCTGAAAACAATACAACATTATTCTAATAATGAAGTGTTTAACAATTTATTGTCAAAAAAGAACCTGGCTGCAGTGATCTATTAATTGTTGATAAGGTTTATCTAAATTAGGAGTAAATAATTATACCACTCCTTGTAATTGTGGAAGCTCATATCCAGCAGTGAACAGTTACGGTCGCAAGAAGCTGTATACAACCTTACAATATTTTTAATAATAATGTTTAGCGATTTTTAAAAGACTGCGGTATGCAGTGTATTATATTAAATGATTTAAATGACACATTCCTAAGAAAATGCTTTATCGTTTTTGCTAACGTCGTATAGGTATTGTTAACATAAACTATAATCAGTACTATAGTAGTATATAGGGAAGGCGAATCTAACGTCAACCCGCAATTTAAATTCCGTAAAACCATTTAGGTCTTCACAGAGAGTGATAGCTCATAACGGAACACAACGTATTGTACTTAGGTACATCATAAACCTGAAATCATAACGCGACTGACAGAGCGGAAAACCTGATTCATATCATTTTACGAGTTCTTGGATTGCTTCGTAATCGCACAGTAGCTGTTTGTTGTAAAGCAGTTTGGTCTTTTCATTGCTGCCAATGACAATATTACGCTCTCTGCTTCATTTGTAAACTGGCTCGATATAGTCGGTATTTTCGTAAATAAAATTCTTTTTTAAATACATTTTTATTCTTGTCACAAGCTCAGACTGCGTGTTCTCAATATTGTGTACATTAATAAACTCATCCTTTCGGAGAAAAGTTATACTTATTTAGCTCAAATTATATGTTTCTAACAGTTGAATAGCCAACTTTTCTCTTTTGTTTATAAATATCAAATGACTTGTTCTAGGATGTACCGAGTTACTACAACCACTACTAATATATGTTTACTGAAAATAGAATGAAGGTGAAACGTAATAACTTCGTCAGCGGTATAATTTTCTTCAGCACCCCGTAATAAGTCCACTTTTGGACACATGCACGATGTCCCACTGTAAGAAACTTTTGCTAAATGTTTGAAAGGTTTCATCAACGAACTATTTTAGAGTTCGGGGGGTTTCATGGAACATTTTTTGAAATCTTACATTCCAAATCTAGCTTAATTTTTACTTACGTATTGGACAATCTTGATTCTATTAATGTCATAGTAATAACCAACGAACATACTACAAATAGATTAATGGTATTGACTATTGGCTTTATTCTTTAAATAGTTATATTATTTTATATAGTTTGACTGTACTTAGTCTGAATGAAACCAGCGTAAGCATACCTACATGTCTGTGAAATCAAAACTATTTCTAGAAAATGATGTGAAATCATCCAACATGCAATTGTGGCAACCTTGCTTAGAGCTCTCTAATAAACACGCTGTGCCCAGCGGTGTTTACTTTAAAATAACAATTATGCTGACACCAAGGTACGTTGGTTATCCTTTACTAAGTACTTTACCAGTGTTTGAATTTGTTTACGTGATCTCATCCATAGTCACGTTCAAAGGCGCTTCCAATGCCTCACGTTTAGAATTAGCATCGCTTTCTACCTCCACGTTTCGTATGCATGCAAAGTGTGCGATTGCGAAACTTTGCATAATCATCGTGCGCATTTTGTTTTCCTTTCTGCGTTAGGCCGTTGATTTATTGGGGTTGTCGCGACACTGTAACTATCACTTCGATAATTCAAGTGTTCAAATTGAGTGACGTTTGTTTCATCTACTAGATAAAGTCAACGTCCCCGCTAACTGTCACTAACCGGATGCACACCATTGATTATTTTCGAGTATGTTTCGTTACGGTAGATTCTTTATACAACCGAATTAGCTAGGTGTTATTCACCCGACAAGAATGACTTGAAAACAAGGCTTCAAGTTGGTCGTAAACTCATAAATATGTTATATTTAAGGCTAATAATAAGAATGTCATAGCAGTAATAAGTAAAAGTTACATGACAGCGTAACGTAATCAATCACGTAATTTGGTCCCGTTGGTGTCTCTCGTCGACGACATCGGTGGTAATAGTAAGTGCCAGGAAAATCTAATGATCTCCGCTAGATGGCGTTTTAACCATCTTGTATCGCAGCTATGAAATACACAGATCAGAAACTGGTGTTGTCACCAGTTGTATGTATGAATGTAATGGAATTTTTTAATCCGCAATTTTGTAATAAATGTAGTGTGTGAAGTTCCCTGACCAGATGGAGCCACTATCTGCGCAAGGTGGCTGGTAGAAACTGGATGCGTGTACCCGAAGGTCGGGTTAAGTGGCGTGCCTTGGGAGTTGGGAGAGCCCTATGTGCAGCATTGGACTCATGCTCAGAATTCAGTGTGGCTCAGGACCGTGCTTTGTGGCATTCTTTGAGGGATGCCTATGTTCAGCAGTGAAATTGTGAAGGGCTGTAATGAATGAATGAAAAAAATTCATAACCGATGACATTATTATAATTTTTTCATTATGTCCTTTATTCTCACTAGGATATTAACAACTCTGAACAATACTGTATGACAAGGGTGGAGATAGAGAAGGTATTTCATGTTAGTGCTTAAAGGTGAATACTCATCTGTATTTTGATTTTTTATCAAGAAAATATGCAAATTACTACGGGCCACAGCAATACATTTACAATGAGGTGAACTGTATGCTCGTCCTTGTGATGTGACCCTGTAAATGATAATGATATGACACAATAAAATATTAATTTACATGGGGCCGTGTGACAAGATATTTTAGCTCAAGAAACACTGTATTATATTGAGAAGCTTTTTCTAAAAAGTGAGATACGTCAGTTATTTTGTTATTTATTATCATGCAACAAGGCGATTCCAATTCCTTGCTCGATTTTTCTTCAAATATTTTGCTGAATAGTGCTTTTATACAATACGGTATTTATGTATTTTTATACTTAATTATGTATACTCGCTATATAATATAAATATAAATTTGACACATAAGTACACAGGTATTTATTTATATTATTATGAGAGAAAGAATTATAATAAGTTTATTTAGTAAAGTTACTATAAAGGTTTCCAACTTGGCAATGTCTAAACTCATAATATACATATAAACTATTACACGTATTATATTAA